GGAGATGGAGATGGTGAACTGTACGGCACAGAACTCCGAACCATCTCCTGCTTCTCATTGGCTGACATTCCGTCAGACGTGACGCGTCTATAAATAAGTCCACCTTTTCTCTCTTTGTTTTCCCGCAAATAAGTACAAGAATATTAGAAAATATTCACATTTAATGAAGTATAATTTAACAGAACATCTCTGACATGAGGTGTCTGTGCATTTGTTTCACTTTGAAAATAAATCAAGTGGGCCGGATTGAACCCTCTAGTGGGCCAGTTTTGGCCCACGGGCCATATGTTTTCTACTCACCTAAACTACTACATAAATATATATGCACACAACATGTTTTTTATATTGCAATACGACACATATTTACTGTATAAAGTCAACAGCTAATGCATTTTCACACAGTGACCCAGAGGGAGATGGCAATGTTTAAACCTAACGTTAATGTATAAACAAGTAAATGTCAGCCTTTTTTTTGTGAGCTGTTAAAACACGTCGTAAAATGTTTTAGCACAAAACCCACTTCCATCCTCAGCTGTGTCGCCGGCTCCTTCATTGACAGCTGCTGAGACAGTGAGGTTCGTCTCTTTCTCTGAGGATCAGAACAGGTAGGAACGCAACACAAGTTTTTCAGTATTGGAAACAAAGAGTTCAACTTTGTGTGTGTGTGTGTGTGTTTAAGGATTTAAAAGACATTTTTAGATTTGGGCAGAAGTGAGATGAAGTTTTGAAGTATTACATCAGAGTCGAAGCCTGGTGTTGTCCGTCGGGCGGCTGATCATACGCCTTTGTACACGTGCGCTCCCGTGCTCCACGGCTTGTGCCAACCTTTTTTTTTCATACTTTGATTTTGGGATAAGATGCAAATCCGTTGTGGTTGAGGTCAACAGAGGGTTAGACTGCGGTGCGACTGGAGGTCGTTAGCGGCCGTCTGTCGGACAGACGCTCTGATCAATGATCAGTTTGTTATATTTGGGTTTAAGAGTGAAAAAAAAATCATTAAATAAAATTTAATTTTCTCTGGAAGTTCCTGCTCCCCCTGGCGGCAGGGACTTGCTGATGATTCTCAGCTATTCATATTTAAACTTATGGGACAAGGTCATGCTGTACCGTAAAATTCCAGAGGGTGGTGCTAAATATCGCAGTATTTTGAAATTCTCTACTTGGTTGTTGACAACAGTTTTATTATCGATTATTACCGCTGCATTTAAACCATCAGTGAAACAGGTCAGTGGTGAACAACGGACACATAGGGGGCGCCGTTTGTAAAGCGACTCGTGCTAAAAATAATAGCAACATGTTGTTACATTTAGCTTCAAACAGTGTTGGAAAAAGTGGAGTGAATTTTTTAAAACAATTTTTGTCAGATTTACAACAATGTTTGTTAACTTATATTAAAATATATTAAACCGTTAAATCTAAAAAAAAATTTAAAAATTGAACCTAAAGGTTATATTTTAACATAATTTTAATTTCAAATAAAAAAAATCGAAATATTAAATTTAAATGTTACATTTAGATTTATAGACAAGTGTTAAAGTTTGACATGTAAACCGGTGGCTGTGGTTGACTTTCAATGAAGCTGCAGCGCTCCCTGGTGAAATTTCCTGAGAATCACAGGCATATAATGTAAGTGTTCTACAGGCATTATGGGTAATTGATGTTTGTTTGTTTTTTTTTTTCTGTTACATGAAGAGTCACGTGACAGGCCAAAGCTCAGTTTGTTTGTTTTTGGGGGGGGGGATGTCAATCAATCTTGTTTAGTGGAAAAACCAGAACACTGCACTACCTGTCAGTCTGTTCACCTCTTCCCTGATGTAGTGTGATGGGTGAGGTGACGGGTGAGGTTCAAGGCTCCGTCACACCTTCTGGATCGAGCCCCTCCAGCAGAGGGCAGTGGTCCAACAAAGTGGAGTTCCTCCTGGCTGTGGCAGGAGAGATCATTGGTCTGGGGAACGTGTGGAGGTTTCCTTATCTGTGCTACAAAAACGGTGGAGGTGAGATTTACTGTGCAAAATAAAACTACAAAATAAATAGAAACAGATGCATTTTATTTTTTTAATGTTTATATTTTCATAAGTGCACCAGTGTTAGCTGTGTTTTCCTTAAACCTGCTGTGTTCCCACAGGTGTGTTCTTCATCCCCTACATCCTCTTCTTCTTCACCTGCGGCGTCCCCCTCTTCCTGTTGGAGACCTCTCTGGGTCAGTACACACAACAGGGAACAATCACCTGCTGGAGGAAGATCTGCCCCCTGTTTGAAGGTAAACAAATATGGTTTATGATTTACCCCCCCTGGTGGTGAGAGTTAGCTTCGACTTTGGGCTGAAAAGTGAGAAGTGATGAGTTGTGGTTGTTTTTCAGGCCTTGGTTACGGCACTCTGATGGTGGTTTGGTACTCCAGCATCTACTACGTGGTGATCCTGGCCTGGGCCTTCTTCTACCTCTTCTCTTCCTTCAGCTCTGAACTTCCCTGGGCGAGTTGTAGAAACATCTGGAACACAGGTACTTTGGAGAATACAGTTCCCTCTCCTGGTGGTGATCTGGAAATGAGAGGCGATCGTTAGCTCTGAATTTGGGCTGAAAAGTGAATCTGCCAGAAACCATGATGATGTCACGTTTACTGGATTTGAACTAATGATTGTTAAGTTTAATTTAATCAAGTTAATGAAAAACAAATGACGTGTTGTTGTCTTTGATTGTCTCTACCTACTGCCCCCTAGTGTTGCAGTACTACCTGATCTACCAACGTCTCTTTGTGCTTCATAACGACTTTGTCTACTCCCAGCTGGGTCAGTTGTTGGTCAGTTGTTGGTCAGTTGTTTGTCTGTCGTGCTGCTGCAGAGACCTGTGTGGAGTTTGACGGAGGCGTCAACATTTCCAACACCGCTCTGCCTGAAAACGCGACGTCCGCAGTGAGAGAGTTCTGGGAGTGAGTTTAAAAAAAAGTCCAAAGTGAAACTGTCAGTTTTCAAGAAAATTCACATTTTAACAAATTACCCCCCTCCCCCCCTCTCCCCCCAACCCCTCCTCCCCAGGAGAAGAGTTCTGAAGCTCACAGGAAGTGCTGCTGAGCTGGGCAGTGTACGCTGGGAGTTGGCCCTGTGTCTGTTGTTGTCCTGGGTCGTCTGTTACTTCTGTGTCTGGAAAGGCGTGAAATCCACAGGAAAGGTGAGAAGAAGAAAACATTATGACATCATCGACTCCATCAGTGTCTGACACATTAACTTAAAAAAAAAACAAATCTTAAAAAAAATGTTCTTTCTATAAAGAAAAGACTTCACCAAATACTCTCTGTCTGAAGACAGACGGAGTGCTACTGCCACCTACTGGACCAAAAGTAGTTGAAAAGTGCTTAAATCCACATTAGTTTGAATGCCCTTTTTTGGGGTGGGGTCTGTCACAAAGTGTTTTTTTGGTGTCACTTCCTGTTTATCCAGGACTGTGAGGTCAGAGCAGCTGGTCAGGTGGTCATGTCAGGCCTGTGTCACGTGGTTTTCTAACGTCATATAAAAGGCAGCAGCTTTTTTACAGTAAAAAATATTTAGCCTAAATCTGAACTTCAACAATAAAATCAAAGCAAATACACCCAAACACCGAGGCTTACTGCCCCTGCCAGGGCATTAATGTGGTGCAGTTTGTTACCTGTCTCTGAGGCGGTTTGGCTCCCCCCACAGGTCGTTTACTTCACCGCCACCTTCCCATATGTCATGATGTTGGTTTTACTGGTACGAGGACTCACTCTGCCCGGAGCCTTAGATGGAATCAAGTTCTACCTCTACCCAGACGCCTCCCGTCTCACTGACCCACAGGTGATATGACTTGACGCCAACTTACCCACATGTTTGTAAATGATTAGCAACAACAACAGCAAAGTTCCGCCTGAATGTGATTAACCTTTGTCTTCTTTATTCTTTATCTGACTTGGAGGTGTGGATGGACGCTGGCACTCAGATATTTTATTCCTTTGCTCTTTGCTTTGGCTGTTTGATGACACTGGGCAGTTATAACAAGTACAACAACAACTGCTACAGGTAGGTGTGACGTCAGAGCTGGTTCACCCCACGGTTAACTCCACTGCTCTACACCAGACACATCACAATACAGGGGCAACATATGTTGTGATATACTGTGATACTACAGGCATGGCAATATATTGAGCCCCCCCCCACCCCACCCCCCTCCAGTGTAGCTGTAGTCCCAGTGTGATCCTAGTCTCAGACTCTGTTCCATCTGGATCTACATTTGGAATCACTAGAGAAGAAAGAAAAGAACAAGAACATGAACCAACACCAGGAATATTGGACTGGGAGTTGGAAAGAAAAATTAAAAAAAAAAATGTGAAAAATCAATATAGTATCGTGATATGAAATATCGCGATACATTGGCGTAACAAAATTTTCTTACATCTCTTGTCCCGTCGTAGTTAAAATGATAGTTTTGTGTCTTTATTGTTATAACTATATATCTATGTAACTATATGTGTGACACTGGATGTCAGTAAGTAGGTTTTTGTGTTTTCTCGGTTCAGGGACTGTGTATATTTGTGCCTATTGAACAGCGGGACGAGCTTTGTAGCAGGATTCGCTATTTTTTCCGCACTGGGATTTATGGCGTACGAGCAAAATGTCCACATATCCAAAGTGGCAGAGTCAGGTAAGTTGAAGTCAAGAAAAATCATTGATATATTTAAAAAATATATAATAATTTAATGGTCATTAGAATCTCATCATGTTGGGGAACAGTGAGTAAGAACAGGGGGGGCTTTTCTAGACTCCCCTGGTGGGGGCACTACAGTGTTCAATCATCTTGTCATTGACATTTGGATAAATATAAAGGTGTCAAACATACGGCCCATGGGCCAAAACCGGCCCTTTAGGGGGTTCAATACGGCCCGCTTGATGAATTTTTGAAAATAAAAAAACACACAAACACTGGAACATTGTCAGGACATGAGTAGTAAAATTATATGTCATTAAATATAAATATGTATCTAACAGACTTCTTAGCATGAAAACAAAGGGGAAAAAAACACAGGTAATTCTGTTATGATTGTTCTGGTTTGGTCCATTTGCGGCCCCTGACCCAAGGTTAGTTTGACCCCCCTGGACTAACGTGTACTCCACCCTCCATCGCTCCTCTGATGATCATCATTATTTTCACCCGCAGGTCCGGGGCTAGCGTTCATCGCTTATCCTCGAGCCGTTGCCATGATGCCTTTTCCTCAACTGTGGGCAGTTTGTTTTTTCGTTATGATCATCCTCCTGGGACTGGACAGTGAGGTAACGCTCTTCAACCAAGTGGAGACAGTTTTTTTAAATCCTTTGAAATCACTTCCTCTCCGCGTTGGCAGTGATTTTATTTGCGAGGCAAACATCAACGCAGTCAGACCTGCAGCTGTCGAGCTCTTTGTCAAATGTTTGTGTTTTCAAACGACGTTAGCTGATTTTTAACAAACAGAGTTAATGTTTGTTTTTTTGCCTCATCTGATTCATAACACGCATTGTTTAGTATAAGGCTACAAATACTTCACGCACAAATATATATATATTTTAGTAAAAATCTGTCGTTAATTTTCACAGAAAATGACAACGTTTTTGAAACAACAAAAAGTCACATCCCGGTGCCGTCGTTAGGCCTTTGGTCTATTTTCATTATCATTAGCAGGAATTTTGTCATTAGCATCAACAAGCGGTTTTCTTGTTTATGCTAATTCTTAATCAAACCCAGTGTTTTTTCTCCGATCCATCGTTGGAGAATATGCACGTTCTTTTTTCAGCAGACGAATCCACGTCCAAGAATTCATTTATGTTGGAAAATGTTCAGCTAGCTTGCGGTCGTCTCACATATTTAGCACAATGCTATTGCTGTGCTTCGTCCAACCCTGATATAAAACAAATCCACTCAGGTATGTGGCACAGCCATGCTGGAATGACATCAACATCCAAACTCTACTCCGCTGCACAGACGACATTTTGACCTTTGGTTAGAACTTTCTCTTCTTCTTCTTCTACATTTTTCTTCTTCTTCTTCTTCTTTCTCTTTCTTCTTCTTTCTCTTCTACATTTTCTTCTTCCTCTTCTTCTTATTTCTCTTCTTCTTCTTTCTCTTTCTCTTTCTTCCTCTTCTACATTTTTCTTCTTCTTCTTCTTTTTCTTCTTCTCTGTTGAACTTTCAAAAAGCTAATAAACAGATTTGTTCTGGACAGAAACAATAACAGTGGATCAAATGCAACCTCTGACACGAACCACTTTACCCTCCTTGGGGGTCGTGACCCCCCCCCCCTGCCTCCCGGGGTCTAGGTCTTGGCCGTTGGCCAAGACCAACAGCAGTTCTGAGGAGCATCAAGTCCAGGTGGACGAGTCTCTGCTCTGACAGCAGGAGTTCTCGTCCACAAATCTTCACAGCCTCAGACTGTGGCACTCTTTATGTCCCTGCTGTTACGGCCACTTCCTGTCTCTTCACCCGCCGCCATAAACGTCTGTTAGTGCTGCCCGACCCCCCCAACCCCCCCGGCCACTTCATGTCCCACAGTGGGTTGTCAAGCTGGGTTGTTACCCTGTGACAGAGACTTCACCACAACAAACCCCTCCCACTGGGCTGCAGTTACTCTGACACACCTCTCCTTATACTGTACACCAGGGGGCGTCAAACTCAAATTCACAGTGGGCCAAAATTAAAACCTGGGACGAAATCACGCCCAAATTTATTGAAAACTTGAAAAAACAAATCCAACTCTTGTACACATTTGATATGATCTCACGGGCCAAATATAATTACACAGCGGGCCAAATTTGGCCCCCGAGCCTGAGTTTGACACTTTCAAACTCCTAAAATACATCATTTTATTCGAGCGGTGCTAAGATTCCGTTATTAATTATACAAATCACTTTGTGAAATGAGGTGTGAAACCCAGCGGCGACCTGCTGTTGTTTGTCTCCGTGATGCTAACATATGTTAGCTTAGCACGAATCATCAGACTCAAAGCTCAAATCTCTGTGTTTCACGCACTTCTCCATGAACTGTTGACACTTTCTTCTCAGTGACTTTTGTTGAGTCAGGAGTGATGTTTTTGTTCTCCGTAGACTGCACCCCCCCGCCTCCTTGTTATTCTCTCCTCAGTCTGATATACAGCCAGTTTACATAACAGACCTTGGAACGTGTCTGTCTGCTGATCCACTCTCCCTCTCTGTAGACGGGAGTCTGGAATGGTTACTTAAGTTGTTCAGAGCAGCTGCCTTGTACTCCCCACTCCCACTCCCACTCCCACTCCCACTCCCACTCCATTATTAATCTCGTTCCCTATGGAGCAGAGATTTCCACATGTTTTCTTCTTCTTGAGCAGCTGACAACTCTCGATGTTCCAGATGTGAACATATGGAGTTCTGGTTCGGAGCCTCAGTTTTTCTGGCACGTGTTTCCAAACCCGCGCTCTGGTTCATTCACTGTGGAAGGCAGTTTGTGATCGAGAACGGCAGCGCCCCCATGTGCTCAAACATTTATCGCCTCAAGATTTACCACCCCCATGTGCTCAAACATTTCTCGCCTCAACACC